ACCGGGTCTAAAACCAGCCTGGTTCTCACGCGTGCGGCAGAGTATGATACCAGCTAGAAGTTTAGAGACGATGTTCAGTAAACCAATTCTTTTATAAAATAAGTGTGCATTTTTCCATACTAGTTATTCCCTCTTTTCTTCCGGAATTCTATCTCATCCGTAGTTTGCAAGATCGTTCAACGGGCAAAAGGCAGTTAGTAAAACTCAATGAAGAATTTTGCGTTGACCTAAATTAGGGGATGTTGTAGTCCGTACATAAGAGAAGTTCATTATTATTATTATCCGTTTACTTAACGGGCTTAGAAAAATAGTATGCATATTTTAGACGAGTCAAACGTGTACCCTTGTCGTCATCGCCTAGAATGTTTCCATGGCGCATCTTTCCACAACTGATTCTCCTGTGTTTACTCTCTACCAACACATCTCGCTCCACACACTAGCTTACCAGTCAGTCGCGGTTATCCTTCACCCAGTTGCACGTTGGTGCGACAGAGCCCATCGAATGACCGAATGGTCGTGGCTTTGGAATGCCCTTCCATCTCATGTCGTTTGTGCACCCACTATTGAATCTTTCAAGCAGAGACTCGACAAAATCTTGGCACACCTCACATTCGTACGCTAAAGGCAAACGGAAATTCACTGTAGCCTACATTCTCTATCTCCTACCCGGATCCCTATGTGACTCCTTTTTTGATGTGTGACGAATCGTCTATGTAAACATCCTAATGGGACAAGAGAAGCACCAGCTTGTAAGCTATTCCCATAATAAAACTTTGACTTTGACTTTGACCACTGCAGCAAAATGACCACATTCGAGTGCCCCACAGAATTGCAAAAAAACGTCGCAGATTACAAAGATGTATCGTTAGCGAAATCATAAATCGTGGTTTGTCTCAGCTTGGCTCTCCTTTGGAAATCAACAAACGCGCCTTACTCCCCAATAATCGACCCAAACTCCAAGCATTAGCCAAGGCAAACAGCTTCAGTTGATCCAATAACGTCGGACCCTCTCTGACTGAGATAACTTCCGGGGCATTCACTGCCTCACATTCATCTTCTTCTTTGCATTGCTTAGCTTGATTCGAAACGAATTCATCTAACGACAAAAAATTTAAATAATCTACTTCATCATCAAGCTCCAAACAGGCGATTTCTTCTACAAAAAGACAGTCAACAATAGACAGATAATGAGTAAAGTCCTCCATCAGATCGCATTTATCCTCTGCTGGCTGCATCAACGGCTGAATCATGGTGGATTTGAACCCAGCTTTCATGAAAGCGTTGATCAGTACGTACGGATGCACAGACACCCAAGCTTTCTTGACCAGATGCATGGCCATGATAATGCCCACCTCAGCTTTCATGATAAGTTGCTCATCTTCGATCAAAGACAAAACTTGTTCCACTAAATGTTTCCGAAACGAACACCTGAAACACCAAATCATACCCCGTTTCATTGGTTGTAACATTGAATAACAGTTCGGAGGTAGCTGTACTAATTTGACATTGGAGAATGCTGCGGGCTTGGTTTATGACAAGGGGCGTTATCTATAAATAGTAAAATAGGGCGTCTTTGAGAAACCATTCTGCGGTTGACATCGGACAGCCAACTATGAAATAACGCAGAAGTCGTCCATGGGTTCTTTGAAGAATTATGATTGCAGGGAACGCTTCTGCATTCTATACCCCGGAGGCATCGTGGAGTT